AATTTAATTGAAGAAAAGAGAATGACAATGTTGTGTCACGGCCAGCTATATCAGCAGAGAATGAAGAAGGCATTTGATAAGAAGGTACGGCCACGTGAATTCAGAGAAGGTGACCTCGTACTTAAGATATTATCTTTCCAACCTGATTCTAGGGGAAAATGGGCTCCGAATTATGAAGGACCGTATGTTATTAAGAAGGTTTTCTCTGGAGGTTCCATGATTCTTACAAATATGGACAGTGAGTAGCTCCCGTGCTCTGTGAATGCTGACGCAGTCAAGAATTATTTCGCCTAAGATTGAGATGACAACTCGCTAAGTTGAAAACCCGAAGGGGTGGCTTAAGCAGGCTTTTGATCAGACCTGTCACGGAAATTTGAACACATCTTGGAATTCAAAGTTTTTAGGGGGAACAGTGGTAATTGTTTTTGTAACCTTTTCTTTCATGTATTATTTTCCAAAATTTTGTAAACCTTTGGAGTCGCGCCATTAGAGGACTACCATCTTATTAATGAAATGTGAGCATTTATCCTTTTTGTGTTTTTATCGGGCAAAATTTTTGTTTTTATGGCAATATTTGAAACAAAGTTAATTAGAGTATTCTTATCTTGAAATATGTCGTGAATATTGGAAGGAATATTAACAGTTGCTCTGAGAAAGGTTAAGCCTTGAAATGCAAAACAACACAGTAGTCCATCCTTGTATGATGAATAATGTTTTTTCTTTCAAAATCATCTTGAGGTGTTGGTTGTGTGACCTTGTGTTTCTAGTAGAGTACTAAACTTGGTGACTCCTTAGCAATCTCGGTTAAGCCTTGATTCAGTTATCTTTAGTTGAACAAGACTTTTCTCCCTAAATGAAGTGAAGTACATTTTGTTATCATATCAGTGGTTTATTGATGTTAGAAGACTGAATATTTGAATATCTTCCTCCCCATAGAGACTTAAGCCTTGTAGTATGATATGCTCTGACGATTCCTTTTGTTCTATCTCCAATTATTTTTCCCGTCTCTTTGAGATTAGCTGAGTATCTAGTTGTATTATGTTATATTATCATCTTCAATTTATTTCCTCTATCTGTTTTGTCAGCATATACATGACATTCATTTATTCATTTACACTTACATCATGCATGCACATTCGTATTTGTCAATGTTATCGAGTTCGTATACCTTGGTTATGTCTAGTCAAACAATGTATCTGCTCTTTTCAAATAGAATGTCAACTTAGGCAGAAAGTGTGCCTCCTTTCTAATTCCCCAACTGAGTTAATCCTCGTGGAAGAATTATGATTTAGCCTTCCTTTTACATCTCTGGATAGGATAAAGCCCCAATTGAGTTGTTTCCTCATTGGGTGGAGTCTTGTTTGATTTTTTTCTCTCCGGTTTATTCCTGGATTGAGCTTTGTCTCTTGTATAGGCTACCTCTTGGTTTTCTCTAGGCTTTGAAACCTAGATGAAGAGCGCATTTATTTTGCGCATTTAATACTTGGTCTCCTCAGGAAAGACCTATTCGTGATTTCCCATTGAGGAAGAACTCTATTCCCTAGTAGTGTTATCACAACATTCTTCTGGAATATCGACGTAACAGCAAGTGGCGGTCTCTTCACGAGCAACTTGTGTGTTATTGACACTTTGGAAAACGATAAGCGGCTGTCTCTTCATGAGCAGCTTGTGTGTTATTGATATCTTTTGAAAAACAAAAAGTGGCGCTCTCTTCATGAGCAGCTTGTGTGTTATAGGCATATTTGGAAAACAACAAGCGGCAGTCTCTTCATGAGAAGCTTGTGTTTTATAGACATCCTTTGAAGAATAACAAGCGGCAGTCTCTTCATGAGCAGCTTGTGTGTTATAGATATTTTTGGGAAACAATAAGTGGTGTTCTCTTCATGAGCAGCTTGTGTGTTATAGATATCTTTAGAGAACAGTAAGCGGTGGTCTCTTCATGAGCAGCTTGCATAGTATAGATATCTCTTGAAGACAGCAACTGGCGGTCTCTTCACGAGCAACTTGCGTGTTATTGACATCCTTTGAAACAGAAAGTGGAGGCCTCTTTATTTGAGCAGCTTGTATGTTTATTGACATCCTTTGAAACAGCAAGTGGCGGCCTCTTTATTTGAGCAGCTTGTGTATTTATTAATATCCTTTGAAAATAGCAAGTGGTGGCCTCTTTATTTGAGCAGCTTGTGTGTTTATTAATATCCTTTAAAAATAGCAAGTGGCGACCTCTTTATTTGAGCAGCTTGTGTGTTTATTAATATCCTTTGGAGACAGCAAGTGGCGGCCTCTTTATTTGAGCATCTTGTGTGTTCACAACCATATGTTATTTCAGCAGCAAATGGTATCTCTCTAGAAAAGTCCCACAGAGAAGTTTGTTATGAAATCCATACCTTTAGCAAAAATTGGTAGTTCATTATCAATAAAAGTTGGTATATCTTTTGTCTACCTTTGACCCTGAGTTGTAAACTCACCATCATCTTGGGTCAGTAGCCATCTATTTCCGTGGCCTATGCAAGGCATCTTCTTTGTTAGGGTCAGAAATTTGTTTTCTCTCGAAGTTACTCCCCGATAAGAGTCTCCCATTTGAAGTCTATGGCTCTGTTTCTCCAATAGAGTTATAATCTCTTCCCATGTGGATTATTTTATCATGTGCTTGGTTTCTCCAACATTAGTTTGTCTCATATGGCATCATTCTCCATAAAATTAAAATATTACATTCATATCATAAACACAATGGCGGTACTTAGGGCCAAAAATTGCGTATTATGTATTTAAGTACCTTCAATCTCAACGAGACGAAGATTTCAATCTTCATATCTTCAGATAGAAGAAACTTAAATAGGGGCAGCTGTCATATCCTAATTTTTGACCTAAGATCCCATCTTCATTTGCATTTTTCGTTATATACATCAAGATCACGAAATATGGTCAGTTTAGAACGTTTCACCTTCGAGCATTTCCTGTGCAGAGATTATCGAGTTGTTGTGAGCATTTTATCTTATGCACGACTAACTTCTAATTAAGCACGAAGTGTATGTTTTTTTTGTTTCTTTAATTTCATGTGCAGAAATAGGTTCGAGTCAAGAGCATCAGGCGTCACGCCTTAATTACGGTTTTGAGTCTCTCAAGCTAGAAGTACAATTAATCGTTGATTCTCGAAGACTGGTTCATTAAGAGAATCGTGTGTTTATTTCCATGCTCAGTTTCAACAAGTGGTCTCAAGCGTCTCCAAAATTCAAAAGAACAGTCAAAGTTCCATGATCACTGGTTTATGTGTGTTTCACTTTGCCTTGAAATACAAGAAAAGATCAAGCTATGCAAGTTAATTCCAAACGCTTTAACCAAAAGTCATCTGCAAGTTTTCTTTAGAAGTCAAAGATGAATTGTGTTTATAAAACCATGAAAAGCCTTTATGGGACATCTATTTCTGGATCTCTAAGTTCAGTTTATTGTGCCAATTTCTCAACGCGATAACATTTCACCTCAAATCCCTCTTCTAGTGATCATTTGAAGCTTTTAAGCATGGTTCGATTTCTTATGCTTACATGACACAGGGTGAATTTCGTTAGAGTGGGGTGATTAAATTCAAGTGTTAATTAAATAGAAATTATCAAAAGGGCTCATTCAAGAATAATTATTCCTCACATTATATTTATTCAAGATTATTTTTGTGTGATTATTTTGATGGATTCACATTATGGCCATTTGAATTTACATGAGGCATTTGTTCAAGAAGATATTGGAAAAGGAAATTTGATTCAAATAATCATTCATCACAAGAATAAATACATGATGGTTACAATTTTATTACAAGATCAATTCATGGAATTTATTTGGATATCTATTACAAAATGCAAGATTGAAGTCTTAAGGCTTGCATTATTATTTATTCATCATTCAACAATTCATTCAAGTATCAATCATTCATTTCCAATTCAAATGGAATATTTTGAATTTTATCAAGATGAATATCAAGATTCAAAGTTTATAAAGATCCAAATATTTACAATTACAAAGAATTGAGAGAATTATATTGAAGACAAGTTTCTATTCTTGTTACAATTTTATTTGAATTTATCATTACAAAATTACAAGGGATTACAAGTTTATACAAACTAGTATTTCTAATGTCCTAAATTCCAGCCCAATATCATGCTGCTGCCCATATTTTCCAGCCCTGTTGCAATGCAATAAAAGTCCAATTTTGTGGCATTTTGTTGTCCAAAAAATGCAGCAAAATAGTCCCAAAAAACTGTTGTAAAACAACCTATAAAACAGTCCCAAAACTGTTATAAAATGCAACAAAGACAGCAAGCAAAACAATCCAAAACCTGCTGAAAAAACTGCAAACAAATCAGTCTAAACAGTCTGCAACAACCTGCAAAAATCTGCATCAAAACAGCCTAGAATTTGCATCAATATGGCAACTAAAAATTGCATGAACAAAGCATCAAAGCAGTTTGTCAAAACAGTTCAAAAACTCTATTGTTTTCTCCCCTAAATGCCTTGTTATTTCTCTATAAAAGCCCTCTTGATGGACAAAAAATGATATACAAAAACTGAGGAGAGGGAGAACACACAAAAACTCAGCAAGAGCAAAATATAAAAGAGAGAACTTACTATTTTTTTGAAGCTCCATCGGAGAGGCTCCGATAGATATTTTTCTTCCTCTCTATTACTTTTGCACAACTCTTTCACATGCACATCATGTCTGCTAGATTTATTGGCATAATGATTTTTTTGTTTGGAATCACTGTTTTTTACAACCTGTTATAATGAAAAAGAACAACGTTATATACATTTATGCTACAGCCAAATTATAACAATAAAATGTAACTTGCTAAAATCCATAAAACAAAATACCGAATTTTTTTCCAAGACAGCGAACCTGCTTCGCTGATTAATCTGGATGTTGGTCAGTCAACTAGACCTAGTACTACGGCTGACTCACTGACTAAAAGGAAAAGGAAACTTGAATCATCTTCTAGAAATCCTAGCATAGCATCTCATATCTTTATAACTATAGTCTGAAATTCATCCGAGGAATCATCAATTTCATCCCGAAGATGTGTCTTGGCTCCTGAACTTGTTGAGTTATTATCCATACCAAGTTTCACCAATGGACTTATTGAAGGCAAAAATGACGATGACAACAATAGTTCAGTTTCTCGAGCAATGCAATTAGAAGCAAATGAGATATAGACATGCTCACTCAGGAACAACTCACTACCCGCAGAAACCGTAGCAACTAAAACAACCAAAAACACATAACCTGTAACAACAAAAACACAATAACAACAGCTTATCCTTTTACAGAAACAATGACACCGATAAAACAACACAAAGAAATTCGTAAAAAAAACACTTTAACAAACCTGTAAGCTTCCGTGAGCCAACAACTCTTTGCCCCTCATCATCGTTCATCTTTCCAGCCACCGCATCATTCAACATTACCCAACCATACCAATCTTCAATCTAACAACTCTCTTCTCTCTTGCATTCCAAATTTCCCTTTTATTTTTCAAATTCTAATTCTTCTATTTCATCTTCATTTCATCTTCAACAACAATAATCATAACAAGTACAGAGCTTCTTCAAATCGATCCTTCTGAACTCAGATTCTTCTTTGAATTGAAGAAACAAAGTTCATGTTTGATTCAATAACGATCTCTATATCACTTTCAAGGTTAAAATGACGTCGCCCAAGAAATATTGCATTCGACCTAATATAGGCCTCATCAAGCCAAACCAAAAATGTGATTTCACTGTTACAATGCAAGCTCAACATACTGTGATGCCTGATATGAATTACAAAGATAAGTTTCTTATTCTAAGTACAGTTGTTCCCTTTGGAACTACAGAAGATGACATTACTTCTGATATGTTTATAAAAGACAGTGGAAAGTATATTGAGGAGAACAAGTTAAAGGTAGTTCTTATTAGTCCACCGTCTTTGCTGATTTTGATTCCGGTGAATGGTGATATGAAACAGGATCCGCCCTACCAAGTTAACGTATTAAAATATCAGGTGATAAGTGGAATTTAAAATATTCCACCTCCACCTCTAAGAGCTTCTGCGGAAGTTAAAGGTTTGGAACCGGTCTTGGATAGGAGAGGTGACATAACGGATGAGGATAATGTCCCGAGACATGCTGAAAATGAGGGTGAAATGAAGCAAGCAATAGATGATGATGTGCAGTTGAATTTAGCAAAGGGTTGTGAAGGTAGAGGAAGAACATGGGTTAGAGGAATGGATAGAAATTTGGGGATTTGTGAATAGGATAGAGAACTTTACCTTTTTTTTTGTTTTTTACAGTAACATAACAAGAGTTTATTAATAATATTAATCTGTTTTGCTCTTCCCCAGACCAACAAACCAGCAGCGCCTTCACTATATTAGGGTTATAAGTTTCTTTTCCTTTGTTCTATTTTCCAACCGGGTCATCCCTTTGGGTATTTTGGCCCAATCCAATTACCGTTTTCCCTTTATGTTTTAATTAAATCATGGTAACATCGAATAAGTATTATAGTTAAGTTGGCAAGGCATTGTTTGTAGCAACTTAAGGACTCGAGCTCAACCCCTGTTAGGGCCTTTTATTCTTTTTATCAATTTTAATAAAATAGGGGCCTTTTATTCTTTTTTTCAATTTTAATAAAATATTAACTTAGTTTAGTTTATATAATTATTTCATTATAAAATACATAAAAACATCTTATTATAAATTAATCTTCTATTCGATTAAATACATGTTATTAAATTAGTCTCTCATTTAATTTTGTTGTTTATTAATTATTCCAATACATGCTAATCTTTTATTTAATTTTTGTTTAAATACATGCTTATGAACTAATATTTTATTTAATTTTTGTTTGAAAATACGTGCTAGTATAATTTAACTTTTGTTACTTATTTAATTATTCAATAGTCGCTATAATTAACTTCATTCTCGATCGTTTAATCTTTATCTTTCGTCCGTCTCAAATCCAAGGGAAATGTTTTTGTTGACTTCACATCTCATACGATTGAGCGAATCCCTTCATTCATTTTTGTTTTATTATTTTGCTAAACTTAAATTAATTTTCCTAAAAAACTCAATTTTTAAACTCACGCCTTTTAAGTTAAAACTTCGACGCTAAGTCGTCGTATCTTCAAAATCTCGTCCACGCCTATTTTTACCAAACGAACCATTTTAACCAAATAAACAATTTTTAAAATAGGTATTTCAAAAGGTTCCTGTGGAGTACCGCAGATGAATTGGGTGCTAATACCTTCTCATTGCATAACCAAACCCTGAACTCTAGATCTTTTTTTTTTAAAATGCATTGTATTTTCATTACTTTTTAAGTATTATTTTACATTGCATACTTAAGGGTTTTATTTTTCTCTTTTCCCTTTTCCCTTGGAAATAATAAAGTGCGAAGGCGACTCTTGCTTTTGTGAGTTGAGTTAATTAATAGCTCGATCTTCGATTTACCCCGCTATATTTTTTATCGCTACACCTGTGATCTTATTAAGAGTTATCTTATTCCACCATTGGTCTTATATGTTTAGAAGATTTTATTGGATTGAGGGGAGTACAAATTGTCTTCTGCTATCTTCTTCCTCGTGTGCATCAACCAAACTTCAGGACTTTCCTTCCTTTTATCCTGATGCTGCTATTTGTTGGTGCTGATGCAATTGAGTTCTTCAGAGTGCTGCAAAGAAGATGTCGAACAAGATGTTGAGACATTATTTTCAACTGAAGATCTATTGCTATGTGCATTCGCTTCTGAACACTAATGTCGAGGGCTATATTTTTGTATTGTTGAAATCTCCTAGATGGCAATTGTTTTTAGATTATTTATTTTAGCCAAAATTTTCCAAAGGGGAGATTGTTAGTTCTCTTGTTTTAGAATTGGCTTAATTTTTGTAAAACAAATAATAACAACAATCATGTAATGTAGAATAGGATGTATAAACCTGCTAAGAAGAACATGTACAACAAGAAATCATATTACAATGTCAGAACAAGTTATGTTGAACTTTTTCAACAACTGGAACAACATGTCAAAGAAGATGTCTTCGACATCGTGCCTGCTGGGCTGGATTAATGAGATTCAGTTTATTCTTCACATAGGCAGAATATTCAGGAGAATATTATGCATCCTATGTGGCGCATATTTAAAGGTCTAGAAAATTCAATCAGAAATCAAGGAGAATGAAGACTTTCTAAATAAGGAGATTATTTATGTAACTAAATATTGAAGACCTTTCTTCGGGCAGAAGTTTCTGCAGTTTGTTATAGATGACTTGTTATGATTGAAGGCCCAAAACCAGTTGGGTAACTGGTTATAAATAGAAGGGTTTATAACCTAGAAAATAAACGGCTCAAGATGTAGAAGTCTATGGTTTTGTCAAGGTAAACCTCCCGAGTTGTGGGAAGGTTACCATGTTCACCTCGAAGCCTGTAGATAAGAGGTGTATTATTCTTGGAGGAAGCTTTAAAGCAACTCTAAGATGTGTTAAGAGCAAAGCTAAAAAATATTGGAGCTTGGCTTGGAGACTTAGCTAGGTTGTTCTGGAAGTGTGTCTTCCAAACTGTCTATCTGTGTGATCAGAATCTTGGTGAAGGGTCGTCGATGTAGTGACTGAGGTGTTGACTGCTAGACATTATTGCGATGGTTGGAAGTGGGATGGGGATATTCCATATCTAGGGAGGACCTAGGTAGAAGGGTCATTGGGTAGTGATTAAGTGCGTAGATCGTCAACGGGTGTGTTGGTTGTAGGGTCTGCAAATTGATATTGCTGATAGTGGACTTCATTCCTGGCTTGGTAGCCCCCAGATTTGAAGTTGTTGTACACCGAACTGGGTAAATAATTTTGGTGTGTCATTTATCTTTTCGGTATTACTTTATCTTGCATATGTGTTTGTGTCAGATCAGATGTCTCGATATCTTTATAGGACATCTGAGTCTGCTGTATCTGAATTTCACCCGTGAAGTATGCATGATATTCCTCAGTGAAGTTTGCACTCTTGTCTCTAGTGCGATCTGCCTGTATCAGAGTTTTCTTGAAGAGATTCTCAATTACCCATGGGAAATTCTGGTTTGGTATTCCCATGAAGGATGTTTTTCTCCCTGATTTAAATTGATTTCTTCTCCCTAGTGCAAGTTATTAGTGACGTGAATCTTGTAGAAATGATTATCTCTAGTTTGGTTGGCGTTGTTGATGCCACTATCTGAAACTTCTCTGTTACTCAGTGGAACAAGTAGCTTTATCCCCAGTCGAAGCCAAATTTCAAGGATATTCTGGATTAATTTGCCTTTATCCTCTAGTGAGGAAAGTTTTCTCTTCCCAATGAAGCAAATTTTTCTTTTCCCGTTGGAGCAGCTATCCTGCCTCCCCAGTGTGATGTACTTGATGGTGCCATTCATAACTCTTCCACCCTCGATAATGGAAGGTGTTTGAGATATCCCTAGTGGAGCTTCTATCCCAAGACGCATGTTTCTTCTCAAGATAAGATTTCCATCCTGGTGGTGTTATGTCCAGTAAGGTTGATGTTTGACTCCTCGTGAAGTTCATTTTTCACTAGGAAATTTTTCCCTATCAAATTTTCTTGAAGAGATGATTGGTCATCAGGCTTGCTTATTCCCCAATGGATCAAGTCCCTTGCTTTTTCTGGAGAAATATACATTGAAATTTGTCGTTTAAGGGTCTCTTATCCTCAGTAGGAGAGTATTGCTGGAAAGTTCCCCAGTGGAGTTGCAAATTTCAAGTTGTGGTTCAAAGGTTTTCTCTTCTTCCCCAAGTGAAGTTTATCAGCTCTAGTCGTTATCCTGAATAGAATTCTTTTCATTTAAGAATTTCTGGGATCCCCAGTAAAAGTTTATATTCCCAGTGAAGTTTTCCTCATCATAGACAGGATGGGGTTGGATTTGTTCCCCAGGGAGTTGAGAGTTTGATCAGAGTTCAAGATTCTTTCAGAGATGCGATTTATGTTTGCAGTATTCTCCCTATGAAGTTATTTGCGCATAGATAGAAATATTCATAAGTTGTTGGGTCTGAATTGTGATTCCCCGCTGAAGTTCATATTGATTTCTCTTTGTAGAAGATCAGATGTGTGAAGATAATTGTTCGGGCATTCATTGTCTACTCAATAGTCGATTACTGATGTGTGTTCCCAATGCATCTCTAAAACATGCATCATTTCATTGTATCTACCAAAATAGAAATAAAAATTCAAACATGCATAAGTATAAGCCAATTATGTTTACCTTCAGTAACCAGGTTTCTATGCATGCAAATTTGATTTGTTCCCCAGCAGAGCCTAGTTTGGTTTACCACCATTCGGGTCTTTGGTATTCTCCTTTTCCCCAGTAAGTTGTGGTTTCTTCTTGCCCTTGCAAGTCTTCGATTATTTTGCCCGTGTTTGTTTCGTTGTTAGAATGCGAGTAAGAGTCGTTGTATAACCTTTCTTATTTCTCAAGTATTTGAGTATCCATACTTAATTTGTGGTAATTCAGATGATTGCCACTCTTCAAGAATCATGTCCCGCTTCTGGACTGAGGGATATAATGTTTTTGCACATCCGCAACCTTTTTAAATCTCAACCTGTGTTGGTAATCCTTGATAGAGTCCCATTTGGCTGGCCTCTTTCTCTTGTTGATTTCATCTTTGATCGGTGTCCTCTGGGGGTTCTGCTTAGTAGGTTATTTATCTTTAGTTTATCTGCATTGATCGTGTTTTCCTTTCATTAGCTAAGCTAATATCCCCCGTGAGAGTCTGTTTTGGTCGGTCTCTTTCTTGTGTATGTCTAATGTTGACCATACATACGTATCTTTATCCATGGTAAGTCCGTTTCAGATTGGCGGTATTTCGTCAAAAGCCTACCCTCGGCCAGTCTCCTTGTTGTTTTGAGTTCGCCTTTGATACAAGTGTTCTCTGTTTAATCTTTGAGTTTCTCTTTTGATTCAAGATATCCATCTTTGATATTCCGTTGAGATTGATTTGACAGATTTCTTCCATCTTTGATATTCGATTGAGATTGATTTGACATATTTCTTCCATCTTTGATATCCAATTGAGATTGATTTGACATATTTCTTCCATCTTTGATATATCTGGTTGAGATTGATTTGACAGATTTCTTCCATCTTCGATATCTTCGGTTGAGATCGATTTGACAGACTTCTTCCATCTTTGATATCTTCGGTTGAGATCGATATGACAGATTTCTTCCATCTTTGATATTCGGTTGAGATCGATTTGACAAATTTCTTCCATCTTTGATATCTTCGGTT